TGCTTTCTTTTTCTCCTTTTTCTTTTCTTTTCTTTTTTGGAATTATCAGCTGCTGAAGCATTTGTTGTTTCTGGAGATTTAGTCTTTTCTTGTGTTCTTGAGCGCAATACTCTAGTACTGGTTACTAGCGATCTCAAAGAAGATATCTTTGTCCGTGATTGCCCAGAATGGCTTTCATCTCCACATTCTAACTGACTAGGATTTACATTTGAATCTCTATATGTTTCTCTTATTTCTTGACCTGTACTTTCAGATGCAACACCCAGTACTACAACCGAATTAGCTATAGGAATCGCTTCCCCTCTTTCATCTAGAACTCCAAAATTATTAAAGCTGGAGTTCACTCCCAAGCCTTCCAGTCTGGATCCACTTTGCTCCCGGCTAGAGTTGACAGAAGCATCTCCACAGAGAAGCAGATCCTCTTTACAGACAGATTCTACCACCATTATTTCATCTATGTTTCCATTAATTTTACTTCTATGCTCCAAAGGATGGCTAGGATTTTCAACTGTAGACTTTGCAGTATCTTGTATCTGTTCTAAAACGAGATCCTCAAACACGTCTCTTGGTGATTCTGCTGAACGGTCTATTTGAGAAGTGGTGTCCATGTATTCAGATGGCAATGCCATTATACTGTTGGAATTCACCCCGCAATTTTCAAATGGTAGATTCTTTTGATCTATGATAGAATCTGTAACGATATGCCCAGTGGGTGAGACTCCTTGACATTCTGAAGAAGACTCAATTGTATCAGTAATTGCCACACAGTCCTGACTCTGGGCATTTCGGTACCCATCTCTTAATTCTTGACCTGTACTTTCAGATGCATCACCGAGTACTCCCACTGAATGGTTAGCTATAAGAATCGCTTCCCCTCTCTCATCTAGAACTTCAATGTTATTAAGGCTAGATTTCACTCCCAAGTCTTCCAGTCTGGATCCACTTTGCTCCCGGCTAGAGTTGACAGAAGCATCTCCATGGAGAAGCAAATCCTCTTTAAAGACAGATTCTACAACCATTATTTCATCTATGTTTTCATCAATTTCACTTTTATGCTCCAAAGGATGGCAAGGATTTTCAACTGTAAACTTTCGAGTTTCTTTTATCTGTTTTAAAACAAGATCCTCAAACAAGTCTCTTGGTGATTCTGCTAAATGATCTACTTGAGAAGTGGTGTCCTTGTTTTCAGATGGCAATGACAAAATAGTGTTGGAATTCACCCTGCAATTTTTGAATGGCAGATTATTTTGCTCTATGACAGAATCTGTAAAGATATGCCGGGTGGGCAGTCCTTGAGAATCTGAAGAAGACTCAACTGCATTAGTAATTCCCAAACGGTCCTGACTTTGGGGATTTTGATACCAAATGTTCAACTCTTTGAGAGGTTCCTCTGAATATACAACTGCAGAATTAGTTGTCTCCTTGACAGAAGAAAAATCCATCTCTCCAATCATAGCATTTTCTCTACAATCATCAGATCTCTTCTGCTCTTGATTGGAAGCTGTGATAGAATCAGTAGAGATATGTCTAGTGGGTAACACTCTTTGATTTTCTGTAGAAGACTCAATTGTGTTAGTAAATCCCACATGGTCTTGACTTTGGAAAAAATGACACTGATCATGCAACTCTCTGAGGGGTTCTGTTGAATACTCAACTGCAAAATCAGTTGTCTCGTTGACAGGAGAAAAATTGGTTACCCCAATCATAGCATTTTCTCCACATTCATCAGGTCTCATCTGCTCTTGATTGGAATCCATTGACATACAGTCAGGAGATATTCTACTAACTGAGCCAAATTCTTCTACCATGCTCTGCCCCAACAGCTTTGACTCAGTGTATTGACAATGAAATTCAACAGAACATTTAAAACTGTCTTCACCTGAATGACACTGCACAAGTTCAATGGTTTCAGGTTTTTTTCCAGCTACCCTGTGTTTTGTACTTAGCTCTACACCATGTTGGGTAGAACTCATGCAGGCGCCATACTGATTGTTTTTCAAGAGGTCAGAGTCACATATGTTTATATCCTCTGACATCCTAATAAAAACCATACTCATGAACTCAAAATTAAAATATAATGCAAAACCAATTTCTTCAAACCGAACACCTAATTCCTGCAATTCGCATCACAAAAAAGGAAAATAAAACAGATGAATTAAAACAACATTTATCATACTCACTGTACAGTGTTATGTGTTTCGCATGACAAAGGAGTGGCACACTGGCAACTCAACGGGAAACCACACAAGGATGGAACCATATTTTGATATGTATCACTTAATAGTTACGAGTATCTTTTTTATACTTCTCTTTACTCTCAGCTTCCTTTTTCCCCATCTGATTTTTATTTTTATTTTCAGCAATGTTGAGTCTATTATTACCTGATGTTGAATGATTTTCATATTGACATTCAACACTAAGAGGATTCCAAAAAAGGAATCATGTTACAGATGTGCAATTAATGAGACGAACGAGTAAGACTAGCTCACTTTAAAACTTAAGAGAAAATGATGAGTATGTCTAATCCTGCAATCTTAGTGATGCTTAGTCTGATAGATATTGTCAATGCATTTCAAGCTTTCAATCCAAGGGAAGGAGGTCCATTTTCATGTAACTATAAATTCAAAAGAACTTGATTGTCCACATGAAGAGAGTTTGTAGAGTTTCTATTGGAATATCTAAGAGAAAAGGATGAGTTAGTAAAATCTTGGATTGAATCAACTAATCAGATTCAAACTTTTACTAAGATTTTGGCCAAAATGTTTCATGGCCTGGTTAAGTGAAATCAAGCGGATACAAAATTCTAGCATCACTTATTCATGAAATTGAATTATGTATCAATTCTACGCATGAATAGCAGAGAACAAACACATCCATACTAATATCTCAAGCAAAACAATTGGTATGTATGGGTGTAAGTTGTAACTACGTTGTTCTTCACGGAACCATAGAATGGAAGGCTTTAAATGACAAACAGGTGCGGATCTGATGCATAGATCTGAAAGCTTAAAGATCAAGTGGTGAGGTTGGGCTCTTGAAAATAACAGTCTAAGCCGTATAGGCGTCCTACTATGGATCTGGACAGGTCTAGGGGTGACAAGCTTGTAGCCCAGTACAAGAAGCAATCTGGAACCCATGATAAACAGCTCCATAACAACAAAAATGTAAAACTAATTGATATGGAGCATCAATTTGTACATGTTACTAAAGACAGACATTCTCAAAATTGCTAAAGTTGCTATTTTTGAAAACAAAATCAAAGATATAAGAGAGATTTGCCGGTTGGAACATTGGATTCCCCACCTTAAAATTATCAAGAAATGTCTACACGCAATAAAAACAGCACGCAAAATATGCAACGCCGGATCATCCAACAGCCAGAAAATGAGTAATAATGGCAAAGGACTGCAGAACCATAGAAGCTTGAGAAATAAATAAACTCAGATGGAGCGATTCAAGGAAGGAAGATGCGTAAGTTACCTGAAAACAGAGACAAATCCACTGGAATGAAGAGTAAAAAAAGTCTAAGGGGAACTTTTTTTTTTTTTTTAATTTCTCTCGGAAGAAGAAGATGAAGGCTCCCAATCTGCGTTCAGGAGCGGTTTTGTTGCTGGGAGCCGATAAACAAGGAAAGCGTTTTTGACTCTTTTGCAGGAGTAACGGAGGGAAACTGAAATAAGAGCGCGGGAAGGAAGATTGGCTTTATGGGTCGGGTCGGGTTATTTTGGCGGTGCGACAATCCCCACGAAGCTCCTTCGTGCTTCACCATTCGAGAAAGAAGTTAAATCTGGGGAAGTTTCGTGAAGATTCGCATCTAATGGGCCGGCCAATTTTTGGGAGCCCAATTTGAAGTAATCAAATCGGATGTGTTATTATCACATTCACATCTGTTTATTTTTATCGAATATTGAATTCGGACACGAATTTTGACGGATGCTAAAAATTAAATCCTGTCCGTATCCATTATATATTTGTATCTAATTCTAAATTTTTAAAGTTAAATGAACGGTTTACTCCGTAGTATATAAATATTTTTAATATATGTATTTAAATATAATTTGTTACATAGTAGTATTTTTCTTATTTTTAGTAATTTATATTATGCTAAAAAGATTTCATATGGTAAAATGTATTACATACTACAAGACATACACGTGTATTTATATGTTTACACGTACTTTGACATATTTTTTCAAGCAGTTCGGACTATAAATTTATCTTTCTTTGTCTCTTAATATTCAAAATTAGGAAAAACAGAATGCTGGGAAAATCGAAGATAACACGTGTTAATCTGAGAGTCGTGATAACACTCTCAGATTGATTATTTTGAGTGTTCAATCTAAAAATCAATCGGATAAAATTCAAATTATTGACAAGAAACGTTTGAACCAATATGAGCTTACGAACTCTCTCTCTGTCGACCAAGGACTTTTCTCAAATTCTTATAGACGCGGAAGGAAGGATTGAGATGCAGTCGCATCTCTTTTATAAACTTGCGTCTAGTCGCACGAAACGTTAGAAAACGCATTTTTGCGGAAAATTTTTAAGCAAAAAACCGGAAATTTAAAATTCAAATGAATTTTTAACACAATACTTTGTCCAAAATAAACAAATCTCAAGTTGGGGACCCCGTCCTAGTATATTTTTTTTAGAATATTTGAATCTGAATATTTGTTTTTATTTATCTTGAGAAAAATAAAAATGTAATACCTTTTTATATCATTCAAAGTATATTTTGAAAAATGATAAGATTAGAAGTTCTTACAACAGAACTTAAGTCATGTTTTCCTTAATATTTGTTGCTGATTAATTATTTTTATTGGAATTTGATCAGAAACAGTTTTAAATATAATTAAATTCAGATCAGACTAGATCATATTTGAATTTATTATAATTATATTTGAACCATTTAGATAAGTAAAGATAAGATTAGCTTAGAGTACCTCAATTTTTTTTAATCAGGGCTATAAAATTGGAAATTATCGTCAGTTTCACTGGTTTTCCATTTGCCTAGACTTATCTTCTTCGGCAGAAGTCGAGCTTTGAACTTTTTTAATCCACTATCACGATTAATTCGAGAAATTCCAGCAAAAAAATGGCTCTGTCTATGGGGTTTCTCTCTGGATTCGTGATCCGAGAAACAACATCTTTCTTCAAGCCGCCGGTCACGGCGTCTTCGGTCAGGACCGCGCCTTCGCTTCCTAACTTGCAGACTTCGCGCGCGGTGGCCGTCTCCGCCTCTTCTAAGCCGTCCGCGGAGACGAAGAAGCCCGGCTTACGAGGTATAATGAAGCCGCGCCGTGTCTCGCCGGAAATGCAGGCTTTCCTAGGCGGAGTTTCGGAAATTCCCCGCACTCAAATTATCAAGGCGGTTTGGGATCACATTAAAAAGCACGACCTTCAGGTAATATACATATATGCGCGCTTCTGCTTCTCTCTCAGATGTTAGAAGATAATCTCAGCCTGATTTTGATTGCTATCCCTTAGCCTCTATCATTGGTTTTGGCTCATGGTTTTAACCCTAATTTTAGACCTTACAGTCCATCACTTTAAATGCTTGGTCTAGAAATGGGAATTTCAATTTTCCTTTCAGAATACAGTCTTTAAATGGGAAATTTGACTTGCATTCAGGTATAAAAGAATCAAACTATACTCAATAATATGGGGGAATTGGAACGTATGGAATGGGGTTTAGAGCATTTCTTTTCCAAAATGGATTCTTTTAATTGCCCTTTTTCTGAACATGTAACAATTTAAATGATAGCTTTCTGTTCTTTAAATTGGAGGAGCCTTTCATCTAACAAGTTCAATGGTCATCTTTGTAATGCATTTCCTTTATATTTTGTCTCATTTTATCATTGGTCATTGAGGCCTTTGATGCTTTTGTTCGGTAGGGGAAATAGGCACGATCCTAGAGCCCGCGATTGTTTAGGGTCTCGAATCTTTTTAAACATATATTAAGCATATCATATATTTAAAAAAATGTAATCAAAAGGTCTAAAGTTCAAAAGCTCAAATTTGTTCAAGTCGCAAATATCTTACTAGCCAAATATTATAATCCGTTATCGCCTATCACACTCTCAACTAGAAAGGCCCCTAACTAATTTGTTGTTTGGAGCCCCCAAAGAGGCTAGAAACGCCATTGCCTTTGATTTGGGTAAAAAGTAAAGTATGTCATTTTATCATATTCGAGTCGTGTGGCCTAATGGAAATCTCAGTTACTCAAGGGACTAGTAGAACCAGCCACTACAGTATGCGGTCATTGTTTTAAAAGTCAGACTTCAGATGATGCATAGTTCATTCATTTTGTTACATTTTTTTTGCCAACGAATGCATGTACTAGATACATTGCTAAACTATATCAGTATCTCACTTGCATAAACATTTGATGGAGAGTACAAGCTAATAGGGAGTAGAAAACAGATGTTCCTGCTCTACCTTTTACTAATTTACTGCTTTTATTGCTGAAAGCATGAGCTACTTATGTGAGTCTGGGGGATATGAGCCATACATATCCCTTATTGATCACACAAGAGCGTGCTGTATCAGCCTTCCATGGTGTAGCTCGAGTAGAGGGCACCATAGGGTCATTTTTGTTTTTGAGGAATTTGGAGGGGATGACTTTGGAAAGATTAATCCATATCCTAGTAAATATTTCCTATACATTCTTTCCTATTTACCAAAATTCTATCTTCTTGACTTCTTTTGTTTTAGGAAACAATTATGTGGTTCATACTAATTTTTTATTTAAAAACAAATCTCAACCATACAATTTTCACTATAAAAAACTATGGGAAGTCAAATTAGGAGATTAAAAAGGGTCAGTGGAGTAGCATGTTTATAAAAACAAAAGAATGGGGATTGCTATAAGACGTAGGTAAATTTTCATATGTTATTCCTTCAAATTTCATACTCCGTATAATCTTAAATATTCTTTGAGATTTGAACTTAGGTATACTACTAAACTCTCCCCTATAAATCCTCCATCCAAACTTACCCTTAAGGTTCAAAACCTCACGAGCAAGAGGGTCGGGACTTCCATTTGTGTCATTGTATGGTCTCTTTACAGAGGGCTTTCAATAGCTGGATTGGGACGAACGCAATAAGATTTAATCTTTAAATGTTCATGAAAACTCAGTTATAAGATTCAACCTCACAAGTTGAGAACAGGGTTTTATACTAGTAACACAAACTGTATACCGGTTTTGCAGGACCCCACAAACAAGAAGATTGTCGTGTGCGATGAAAAGTTGAAGAAAATTTTTGGCGGGAGGGATCGGGTTGGGTTTCTTGAAATTGCTGGACTGATTGCTCCTCATCTTCTTTAAGTAATTTGAAAAGAGATGTCATATTTTTTTGTAAAGGGAGATGTTGGTGGATTATGCAGAAATGTGTTCCTTGGAGTTAGAAATCCCTTGTATCAGCTTCATGGTTGCTCCAAGTCCCATCTGAGTTTTACCTCACCAACCC